TCTTTTATCCATCTTCAGTTTATTTTGGTGTATGGTGTAAGTTGGTGATCGAGTTTCATTGTTTTTCATGTAGCTGTCCAGATCTCCCAACACCATTTGTTGAAGAGGCTATCTTTACTCCATTTTATGCTTTTGCCCCCTTTGTCGAAAATTAACTGTAGAGACATGGGTTGATTTCTGGACTCTCCGTTCCTTTCCACTGATCTATGTGTTTTTTCTTATGCCAGTACCAGGCTGTTTTGGTTACGGTGGCCTTGTAATGTAGTTTGATGTCAGGTGTTGTGATCCCTCCTACTTTGTTCTTCTTTCTCAAAAGTTCATTCATTTTTCACAAAGCCTTTTTAAATTTTGCCAGCTTCCTTTTGGGTAGTTATTTATTTATTTATTTATTTTTAGAGAGAGGGAAAGGGAGGTAGAAAGAGGGAGAGAAACACTGATGTAAGAGAAAAACATCAACCACCTCTTGTACACGCCCCAACCAGGGACTGAGGATGCAACCCAGGCACGTCCTCTCACTGGGAATCAAACTGGTGAAGTTTCGCTTTGAGGGACTATTGCCCAATCCACTGAGCCCCACCACTCAAGGTGGGTTTTTTAATTTTTCATCTCATCTTCAAGCTCACCAAACTTTTCTTCTGAAATGTCTAAATATGCTGTTAATCTCACTCGATGCATTTTTCATCTCAGACCACTTATTTTCATATCCGGAAGTTCAATTCATGTCTTTTAAAAATAACATTGTGCCCTGGCTGGTGTGGCTCAGTGGATTGAGTGTGGGCCTGCGAACCATACGATCGTGGTTTGATTCCCAGTCAGGGCACATGCCTGGGTTGCAGGCCGGTTCCCTGTGGGCTGGTTCCTAGCAGGGGACTCATGAGAGGCAACTATACATTGATATTTCTCTCCCTCTCTCCTTTCCTTCACCTCTAAAGATAAATAAATAAATAAATCTTTAAAAAATAACACTGTGCCCTGGCTGGTGTGGCTCAGTGGATTGAGCCCGGGCCTGCGAACCACATGCTCTCAGTTCGGTTCCCAGTCGGGGCACATGCCTGGGTTGCGGGCCTGTTCCCAGCGGGGGACACATGAGAGGTGACCATACACTGATGTTTCTCTCCTTCTCTCCTTCCCTTCCTCTCTAAAAGAAAAATAAATAAAATCTTAAAAATAAATAAATAAAATAAAAACAACATTGTTTTTTAATAACATGCTCACCCTTTCCGCTATCTTCTTCAACACACAGAAAACATTTATAAAGGCTGTTTGCATGTTCTTGTCAGTTAATTTTATTACTTGTGTTGCTTCTGGGTCTTTCTTCTATTGATTGACTTTTCTCTTCATTATTGTTTGCATTTTCTGTTTCTGTGTATGGCTAATAATTTCTATTGTATGCCAAACATTGTGAATTTTACCTTGTTTGGGTTCTGGATTTTATAATAACAATAGTAGTGGTTCCCTTAAGTGACTTTGTGAGTCATCATAGGATACAGTTACTTGGAAACCGTTTTATCCATTTGAAGATTACTTTCAAGCATTATTAGATGGGATCAGAACAGTTTTTAGTCTAAAAGCTTCCCACTACTCAGGTAATAACCAGCTGAGAACACTATGAATACCCTGCTTATTTTGTGGTTTACTCACCTCTGGCAGGTGAGAAGATGAAGTGCTACCATCGCTCTGCCAGCTCTGGGGTGCTTCCACCCACTCGTTTGGATGGTTCTTTCCCAACCTTGGATATTTGGATAGTTACCTCACACATGCGCACTGATCAAACTTCAGCTGAGGCTTCAGGGGAACCCTCTGCAGATCTCCGGAATGCTCTCTCATGTTCTCCCTCCCCCTCTTCTCTTCTCTGGGAGCCATTTCGTTAGGGCCTGAATTCACTTGTTCCTTTGCTGTTCCTTCCTTCCTGAATTCCTGAACTCCTAGTCTCTTATGAAAGTTTTCCAGAAGGGTTTCAGAAAAATCTGCATTCTACTGGTGCCTTCAGATAGACATGTTCTATATGGCTTACGCAGAGCTAGACTGAACCAGACTATTATGTCAACGTAATTTGTTTCTATCGTCAGATATAAAATAAGAGAAGACAAGAAGCCAGACTTCCAGGCCTGGCCTGGCAGGAATCTCATTCCAGCACAAGGACAGTGTGTGGTACCTGCACTGCGGGTGCCCGGAAGATGGGGGCACCACCGGTACCTACTCTGAGGCTGATTGGCAAGGAACATAGGAGGTCTGTTCAGAAAAAGTCCAACCATTGTTAATATAACAAGAACGCTTTGCGTGGCATCAACGTAACCTGGCAGCCAAGGAGAGTGGACTAGAATGTGCATGTGTGATTAATACTAGTCAGTGGGGATGGCAGACGCTGTTAAGTGACCATGTATACGGTGTGGCCAGGGCATTCAAAATAACTGAGCAGAGCAACGACTCTGCATCAGATTTTGCGTTAAGCTTGAACATTCCTCCATGGAAACTATTCAGATGATTCAGAAGGTCACAGCTATGGGCAACTGGTGATTGGCAGCTTCATCACAAGAATGTGCCCGCTCATGCATCACGTCTTGTGCAAAGTTTATTGACCAAACATCAAATCACCCAGGTGACTCAGCCCCCCTACAGCCCATATTTGGTGTCTTGTGACTTCTGGCTTTTCCCGAAACTACAATCACCTTTGAAAGGGAAGAGATTTCAGCACATTGCTGAGATTTAGGAAAATATGACAGGGCAGCTGATGGTGACTGGGAGAACTGTGTGAGGACACAGGTACCTATTTTGAAGGGGACTGAGGCATCATTGTCCTGTGTACAATGTGTCTTGTATCTTGTATCCTGTTCAGTAAATGTCTCTGTCATAGCACATGGCTGGATACCTTCTGGACAAAGCTCGTCATGCATCATCACAGCCATTGTGCTGCTCCTCACCTTGAGATCAGCTGGGTTCACTTATGCACATTCACAGCCTGGTCCTGGGGCTCATAACTTTGAGAACCCTGTTCCTGGACACCCTGCAGATGCCCTTACACATATAAATGCTCTATGGCTCAGGTACATTTTTTTGTCACATGACTTTGCTTTCTAAAGAGTTACTCAAATGATTTGTGGATATGGGCTGGTGTCAAAGATTCCATCAGTACATCAGTACATACACTACACAGGTCATTCCCTTCCCCACATTCTCTCCCTCCTGGGCCTACCACTAGGGTGAGTTTGGGGGTGTTTCTTTATTTCTTTGAAAGATATTTCTGTGTTTAACCCAACAGACAGACACACATACACACCTGGTCCCACTATGAGCGTCTCCCATTTGCTTCCCATTCCCCCATGTTAACAACATGTTCTAAAGAAAACTCCTCTGATCAGTCCATACTCGTCCCCTTACTCTGTTCCATGGCCAGTAGGCACTCTGTGGTAGTACAGGAACCTCTCATTGTTCACTTACCACCCACCTGTTTGCTCCTACCTTCCTTATATAGAGAGCTCTGTGTGTGTGTGTGTGTGTGTGTGTGTGTGTGTGTGTGTGTGTGTTTATTATACAATCTTTAAGGTGGCATTGCTGGGTGAAATTTCAGTCAGTCACTAACCATTCAGTGAGTGCCTACTATGTACTGGGCACTGGGAGAATGAGGAAACTGGACCAACAAATGTGGCTGCCTTCTCAGACCCAGCATTGCAAAGATTTTTCACTTTGACAGATGGGGCCACCATGCTGTCCATCAGTGATGCAGGGGAAGACAAGCTTGTTGACTGGCATCCTCACACGATGCTGGGGGCAGGAGCTCTATGGTAGTGGACCGGATGCTTAAAGACTTTGCTCCCTTCCAGATCTTCAGGGTCTGGCGTAGGTATTGTCTATCTGGGCGTGCTGGGGAGTGAGGAGGGAAGGAGTGCCAGAGAAGGGCCAGTTCACTAGTACTGTGTCGGAGGGAGTTGGGAAGCAGTGCCCACTGAGTTGTGTGAGAGGGAGGCAGAGGCTGGTTAGAAATGCAAATTCCTGGGCCCCACCCGGGACCCACTGAATCAGAAACTCTGGGGTTGAGATTCAGCAATGCTGTTTTAACAAGCTCTCAGGTGATTCTGGGGCACGTTAAAGTTTTACTTTGGCATCAGAACCACCAGAATAACCCACAGGACAAAAGTGAGAGACAGTTCAATTCCCAGTCAGGGCACATGCCTGGGTTGCAGACCAGTTCCCTGCAGGCCAATTCCCAGCAGGGGACGCATGAAAGGCAACCATACATTGATGTTTCTCTCCCTCTCTCCTTCCCTTCCCCTCTAAAGATAAATAAATAAAATCTTTAAAAAAAAAAAGCGAGAGACAGCTGCCCCTGGTCTCTCCTCCTGGGCGTGTCCAGGGACGGGTTATGAGGCTGGAACTGGCCACCTCCTGAGAGTACAAGTGCGGATGCAGAGATGGAACCATCACTATGGGAGGTGCAGCCGGGGAGGGGGGGTCGGTTTAGTAACAATAAAAAGACTGTGTATGGAGGCCAGTAAAGTCCACCCCACCCCAGGGAGATCAGCTTGGGCCTTTGACAGAAGTGAGGATGACGCTATCCTGGTAACCCAGCCCCCACTTCCGGCCTCGGGAGACATCCTTTTTCCGGCTTCCCAGGAGGGCACTCCAATCCCACTTCGGCCACGCACATCTACTACAGATTTGAATAAAAGGGGAGCCCGCGGTGGGCCACTGGATTGGTTGTGGGATTGGTTGAGGAAGGTGAGGAATGCAGGCCTGCTCTGGGCCGTCCACCTACAGACCGCAACTGTGGCCATGGCAGGGGACTGGCCGAATCCCCAAATCCCAGTTCCTGCGCTTGCAGGGGAGGGTGCTGTGGTTGGTGTGGGGCCGGTCGTGAGCCCTGGGGGGCCAGTGACACCCAATCTCCTCACGTGGTCCGCTCTCCAGTCCCAGGGCCAGAGACACTTTCCCCAGGGGCAGGGCTTAGTGACATCACCATCTAGGAGTCAGCTGACTCTTGGTGGGCAGGGCTCTGGGTTTTAGGCAATCCTGCACCCGATTTGCAGAGTTCTAAGTACTCTTTAGGAGCTATCCCTCTTAATCGTCACCAGGCCTCTTGGAAGAAAACCCTGTCACTGATGAAGACATTCAGGCTGGGAGAAGGCAGGTAACTGGCTCAGGTAGTCCAGCAAGGGTGGGGCAGACCTCGGCCAGATATGACAGCTGGGACACTCCTCCTATTCATGCTCCCCTGTCCCTCCCGGGGGTCTCTTCCCTGTGCTCACAGACATAGCTCTACACTGTGTCACCCCCGCTCTTGAGTTCATCCTCTCAGAAATATTCCTCTTCCCTCCCAGCTCTGGGAGGAATTGCCCTAGACTCCCAGTCTGGGTCTGGAGTTTCACCGGGATCCCAGAGATTTTCAGTTCTGCCCTAATAGAGACTTTATGACAGATCCCTAGGTGGGGGAGGAGCGAGGCCTGTCCTGCATAATGCTCTATGCTTGCAGGGAGCAGGGAAGGTCCTGAGGGGTTCCCCTGAGGCCCAGCTTCGTACTGGGAGAGAGGATGGAAATGGAGATGAAAGGGTATAACAGGGGCTCTGTAAATAGAGCTGAAGGAAGGCACTTACAGGCCCCTGGGCTGGAAGGGCAGGCCTGGTCACTGGTGAAGGGACGGAGGAGATTTGGAGAGAGGGAATTGTGGCAACTGCCACCAGGAGAAGGAGTTTGGGGAAAGCACAGGGATGTTCAGAGGGATTTAACGGGGGTTGCATTGGGCAGTGCAAAGGGAGAGCTCTCATCACTCCAGGATCCAGGACCCCACAGTGTGTGCTGAGAGATGGCAGAGACTACAGGGCGTGGGTCAACTCCTGTGGACCTGAGGTTCACCCCTCCCTTCCATGGGGCAGGATGCAAAACTGGCTGTGACCAGAGGTGAACAGGGTTGATCAGAGCACGGCCATTCCCAGGAATCAGACATGAGAGGTCACTCTCACAACCCTTCAACCCCAGAGGTCCTCCCCATCCCTTCATTGAACCTGCCCTCCTTACAATGATGTGGTGGCGGCTGCAGACAGTGGGGACTGCAATACTCCAGGGCCCTCACCCACAGGGTGGATGGAACAAAGACTCGCCGTCACTGCCTATACTGCAGCTCCCAGCTGAGGATTTGTCGTCCTGTGTCCCTGGGTGCAGTCAGTAGACCCTGTGAGGAGTCACGTGACATTTGTGAGTGAAAGCAAGCTGTGACCTCTAGTAATTCTCTGAGCTGGTTGGGGTCTATGTCATCAGGTGTGACATCTTTGAACTGTTTGTGGGTTGTGTCTAGTGTGAAGGTCTCTGAACTGTTTGGGGGGATCTCCGTCCTAGGCTGTGAGATGTCTCAACTATATGAGCCTTTCTTTGTCCAGAGGGTTGGGTCTCTGAGCTGTTCATATACCTGCACCGCAGGATGGTTCTGGCAGGAAGACAGCATGGAGCACACTCAGTGCTCTCACTAGCTTTGTGATTTCACCCTTGCTAGGATTTTTCTCATCCCTGCTCTGGTACCACAAAGATGAAAACGTAGGATCCTCGTCCTCAGGGACCGCAAGTTCTCGGTCATGTGCTGCTGGAAGGAGCCCCCGGTAAGAACACTGATAAGAGTAGCTGCTGACATCACCCCCATCCTTGTTCAGGGCCCTGTGACAAACTTATGTTCACATATTCACTCAGGAAATCTGCCCTGAATCCCTAAGGAGGTGGTCACTGTTTGCAGATGAAGTGTCTGGGGACCAGTGAAGATGGGAGATAGCTCATGAGATGGAAGAAACTGGATGTAACCTGGGCTCTTTGGAGGAGGGAGGGGAAAGCTCAGAACAGCTGAAGCCAGTCCGGGGAAATGACAAGGAAGGGGAAAGGGCGAGGTGTGTTCAACACTGCAAGGACCCTGTAACTGACACACTCAGGAGGTCTGTCCTTCCATCTCTCACTCACACACCTGCCTGGTACTCGATGTACAGAATGTGATCTTCACGAAAACTGTGGAGGCGCTGGTAGAAGGTACAGAGATGAGTCTCCATGCAGGTGGGAAAATACCTCAGACTTACGAATTTATACAAGGTGCCACTGCAAATGTAGAGACCCCTGCCTCCAGTCTCTCCCTTTAAAGCATAGTTTTGGCACTAAGATGAACAAAAGGACAGTGAAAGTTTTGAGGAGGGGTGGGGGACCCTGTATACAGCATGAGCCTCCTTGTAAGTGGAACATGTCCTTGCCGTGATGGGCAGACAGTCCTGATGTGTCTTGAGACAGTGTGACTGAGGCCCAGGCCCTGGACAGCTGAGTTGTTCAGTAGAAGCAGTCCCTGGGGAGGGGCACCCTTTCCCTTGAAGGGACTGACACAACATCTAGTAGCAAGGCTGGGGACCCACAGGTATGTGCTACTTCAGTAGCAACACTGTCCTGCCAGAAATAGTCTCTGTCCCTGTCTGTAATACTCTCGCCTACTCTCTGTCATCTCTGTGCCTGTTACTTTCCCTCTCACACACCAGCCTGAGTGTGACCTCACACGTGACTGGAGGGCCCTTGCTCCTTCTCTTCTGAGGGTGTCATCCTTTTCTGTGTATCTTTCTGGGGAGGACAAAGGATCCTGAGTGCACAGGATACTCCAGGCTTCCCCTGAAGAGGGGCTGGGGTGGAGTTCTTCCTTGGGGCAAACCTGGAGCTCCTCTGCATACACTGGGTAACCTGAGCCTCTGGCCTCTAAAAGAGGCATGGCTCTTCTGGCTTAAAAACCCTCCCATAAATCACTTACCAAAGTCTTCACCATGCACCAGAAGGCCCTGCACGTTCTGATCCCCATTAGCTTTCTGACCTCACCTTCTCCCTCTCCCTCCATCACGCTGTGCCAGCCCCACAGGCCACTGCACTGTTGCTCACAGGCGAGCCGAGTTCCACTCCCGCGCTTCTCCACTAGCTCTTACCTCTGTCCGGGATGCTCTTCTCCCAGATATTGATCTCCTCTAGGTTTTAGCTCAGATGTCACGATCTTGGAGACACTTTCCTTGACCTCTCTTTCTAGAAATGCTCCCCTCAGACTGAATTGCAAAGGCAGCAGTTAAGAACACCTGACAAATTGCTTCCATATCCTTATGTGTGTGACACACAATTCCAATAGAATATACAGCTGCATGAGGGCAAGGTTTCTGTACCTTTCCACACGGCTGGATTCCTAACTCCCATTACAGTGCCTGACATGATACGGAGAGAATGAATGAGAAGATGGGGAAAAAGTGACATGGAATAAGCATTGCTAAGAGAGTCACAATAAAATCCGAGGCTATTAGGGAAGCGGGGCCTGTGCATGTGCTGGGCCTCAGGTCAGAGCGGCTAGTAAGTTGCTAACCTTGTGCTAAACTCTGTTCTAAACTCTGCTCAAGGCTGAGCCATAGACATCCTGGAACAGGACCAGCCCCACTGACACACGTGGACTTTTCCTCCTTCTTGTAGTTTTTGCTTTCCTCATTTGCATATCGGAGTGAACCAATCCCTGCTAACTTCGCCAGCTACGGTTCATTTCCACTCAAGAATTACACTTTGTGGGTTTTGCCTTTACAAACCCTGGCTTTCTTTGTCCTTTGCAGAGCGCAGTTTGGGTCGCTACCTGGCCCTGCATCTCCTGGGTGGCAAATCTTTTTGCTCCAATAAGCGCCTTTTGTTCTTTATCAAGCCTGAACCTCTTCTTGGATTGAGAGAAGGACTCTCGAACGCAAAGTTGGGGCAAGAGGCACAGCCAGACAAGCCAAGGATTCTGCTCATGAACGTGATCAGGGGTGACAAGATCGTGAAAAAGCCTGTGGTCCTTACGTCATGGACTCAGGGTCCTTGGGGCCCCTGGGAGACGGCCCCTTCCCTAACAAGCCCAAAGACCCTGCTTTCCTCTCACCTATGACGGACAGTTAAGGACTGAGGCCTGCTCCACACAGGCCTTCTGACCACATTCGGGAGCTCTTGCCCTCCTGTCCCTTGGGGAACTTTGACTGCGTCCCGCCCTCCCCCCACCCCAGACCTGTTCTGCATTAAGCAGGGAGGCACAAGCCAGCACACTGCCCGGCACACAGGAAACGCTTGTAATGCACTTGGTTATTATATTGGCCACTGCAGGGAGGTCAATTTCGGCTTAGGAAGACTCTTCCAAGACTCGAAGCCTACAGCGAACTGTGTGGTTTTCGTCCTGCCTTTGCCACCCCCCCACCACCACCCTTTGCGGACCAGCCTAGAATGGTCCATAAGCTCCTGCGTCCACGAGCTGTTCCAGGTTCCCACCACCAGGGGGCGCGCGAGAGGGAACAGTTGCTCCCTGGGAGCTACCACTGAGAGGCTCAGAGGTAGGACGGTCCGCTCCGGGAGGTAAGGGGTCTGAGGCTGCGCGTGTTCACTTCTCTGGCTCCACCCGTCCATTTCTGCGTGGTCACATCCAGCTGGGCGGGGCGCGGGATGGGAGATGGGTTTCCAGGTGTGGGGGCGGGGTCAGGGACCCTGCTGGGCGGTGATTGGCCAGGGCGGGATTCCCGGGCTAAGCCCTTCCTGGGCGCCCAACGGTTCCAGTGGGACCCCTAACCGGGGCCTCTTCCTTCGCCTGCGCGGTTCCCCACTGGCCGTTCTGCCTGGGGTGACACGTTGGTCGCAGGGCTGGCCCTGAGGGTGAGGCGTGTGCTGGTGCGTGTGTGTGCGCGTGCGCGTGATGCGGCTTTTCAGAGTGTAGCATTTTTGTCCGAGTTGGGGCTACTCACCCACCGACTGTCCGCACAGGCCGACCAAGACGCCCGGTCGGTGGCGAGGCTCAGCGCAACGCAGGCTTGCAGCCGGAGTCCCACCCCGGATGCGCGGGTGACAGTGCTGTGTCCACGGGAGCTCCTTCCGTGTGCTTTCGCCTTAACGCTGTCACCAGCAGCCTGGCCAGGCGCGTTTGGCACCGCACCGTCAGTCCTACAGATGCTTGCGGTGAAGGTCCAGGGAGAGGGCTCTGAGCGGTTTGGTGTCTCTGCCTGGGACGCCAAGTGTGTCCCGCCGTTTGGCGACGTGCCATGTGGACGGGCGTGACATCCCAGGTGCTGTTTGAGTACCTGCGATCTCTCTGAGCCTTTTGGGGGACAGTGAGTGAACCGGAGCTTGTATCAGGCGATTTTGTGCACCGTGGCCTAAGCATCTCTGTGGCTTCACCTGCGTGTGCATTTCCCGAGCTTTTGAGCATCTGTACCCCTGGGTGTGGTCTCTCTGTGGGTGTCCACACCCCAGGGTATGAGGACTCTGAGCAGTTGGTGTTTCTGGGTCCCAAGTTGTTATGCGTCTGAAGTGCTTGGGGTGCGGGAGGTTTTATCTCAAGGTGTACTCGTACCTGAGCTGTTTGGGCGGTGTGTGTCCAGGGTGTAGGTTCTCTGATTTGCCTGGGGACTTTATCTTAAGGGTGTGCGGTGTCCCCGAGTTATCTGAAGTTCTGTCTTTCTGTTTGTGCGGTCTTTGTACTGAGTTGGGAGGTGTCCGCCTGCTTTGGGAGTCTGTCTCTGTGGTGTGGTGAGGCAGGGGCAGTTGTGTTTCGGGGGACAAGGACTTTGGTCGGTTGCGGAGGGGCTGTGTCAATGGGTACAGTCTCTGCTCTGTTTGGGAGTCTGTGACTCAAGTTGCGAGCTCTCTGCACAGAGAATCTGTTCCAGGTTGTGTTCGGGTTGGGGGGGGGCTGTTTCTGGAGTAAGGAGGTACGTGAGTCTCTGTCTCAGGTGGAAGCTTTTATCTTTTTAGGTGTAAGGTCTCTGTACAGGAACCGAGGGTTTTGGAACCTGGAGCCCCAAGTCCTGGCTGTGTGTCCTTGGGCAAGTCACTTGTCTCCTGGAGCCTCAGTATGTGTCATAATCAATAAAACGAAGCCGATACCCATGTTGGAGAGCGCTGTGCATCTCACCAATGGGTGGAAAGGGCTGGGCTCCCAGTCAGTCTCCCCCAAGAACATTCTGAACACCTGCTCTGTGCCCAAGCACCGCTGTAGGACTTTGGGGGCACAGCGGAGGAAAAGTAACAGACAAAGTCTCTGATTTCATGGAGTTGGTCAGTAAATCCATAACATAGCTGAGAGTGGCAAGTGCTGTGGAAACAAATAGGCCCGCTCGGGGGAAAGAGTGTTTTACTCACTGTGATCGGGGAAGGTGTCCCTGAAAAGGCGATGGCTGAGCAGAGAGCTGGAGGCAGAGAGGGAGCAGGCCTTGGGTGCCCTGGGGGGAAGGGCTGGTTGGGCAGAAGGAACAGCAAGTGCAACGATGCTGATGGGAAATCCGCTTGGTGGGTTCCCGGGCAGCGGGGAGCCCTGTGATGCAGGTAAAGCCCTCTTCACTCGGTGCGGCAAGTAGCGCTCAGGGGAGGTGTCTGGCGTTGCCATCTCTCTTTCTCTTCCAACCTGTGAGGGAGTTGGGTCACGCTCCTGTTCCAGACCAAGGACCCGAAGCTCCCAGAAGTGGCCCGACCTTGCTCTCCCGCTCACACCCGAAATTGCTGAAAGAAGGGTGTCACACCCGAAATTGCTAAAACAGGGGTGAATCGTTCGACTCCTTCAGGAGAGGCAGAGGGTTGAGGGTCAGAGCTTCGGGGAGGACACGATCCACACTGCGTGTCAGCCACCCTGCCGATATAGTTTAGGACAGCCCAGGAATCAGGCCCGTGCTGACAGTTCTCCTCCTGAAGGAAGGAAGCACGGTCTGGATGAGAGAGGACCCCGGGGCAGAGGGGAGGGGCGGGAGGGGAAGCTGGAGAACAGTGAGGAAGGCAGCTTGGGCGTCATAGCACTGCTGCGATTCGGCCCGACTGGCCTTCCCTGACTGACTGTATCAGATGTGCTCCCCTTTCCCCTCCCCTGCCCTTCATTTCCCTTCCCTTCTTTTTTCTGCCAGACCAGTTCTGTCCCAAAGCTGTCCTACCCGGTGCAGCAGAGCAAGGAATGCAACTCCGAGGGTCAGAGCCCAGCCCAGTGGACAGAGGCACTGGCTGCGGTGGGGGACAGAGCAGGATGTGCCTGGGGTTGGGTGGGGAAGGCCAGCTGGCGGAGGGATGCGATGCTGAGTGGGTTGTGGAGGTCAAGGGCAGGGCATCCTTCAGCACAGCATGTGAGGACGGCCTCTGAGTAGGGAAGGGATGGAATATATGCACTGGGATTCGTGGGCTCAGTAAAGGGATAAGGATTGCAGAGCCCTGAGTTCCGGGCAGCGCCAAGTGTGGGAAAGAAGAAAACGAGAAGAAACCTTGAGGAGTTAGACTGGCCTTGGAGGCCTCCATGTGAACGTGTGGCTTTCAGTATGTGTACATGCGTACCCACGGGTAGGTTGATGGATGTAGGTGTATATATTTCTGTGGGTGATTGGGTACAGGCATCTGATCCGGTGTGTGATTTCGGTTACAGCAGCGATAGCAGTAGCACAACCAGCCCCCGGGTCCCGGCTTCTCCACGTGATCCTCCGAGACACGCTGGCTGCAGCGCTGCACGAGGGAAAGGTTCACTGAATCCGGCTCAGTGTCTGCTGCCAAAAAGGGTAAGTTCGAGGAATACTGGGGCCGTGTAGGGGGCACCCTCGACAGAGTGAGGACAAGTTTGTATTTTGAGCTTTGAGAGATCACTGACAGGTAACCTATGTGAGTTGAAGGCGTACAGCGGGATGATTTCATAGACACACACACATGCATTGAAAGGAGGACGCAGTAAGGTTGGTTAGCGCCTGCATCCCCTCACATAATGACCATTTGTGTGAGCGGTGATAAGATTTTGCCCATTCTCTGAGCAAGGTTCACTACACATTAGAGTGTTGCTGAATGAGGTGACCATGTGGTACCTCGCATCCCCATGGCTTACTCCTCTGGTAGCTGCTTGTTTGTGCACGTAGCCCGGCATTTCCCGCGAGCCCTGGACCCACCATTCTCATCTCTGTTTCTGTGAGTTTGGATGTTTTGGCTTCCACATGTGGAAGAGAGAGAACCTACAGTATTTGTCTTTCTCCATCGGACTCAGCACAGATCCTTCAAAGTCCGTCCATAGTTGCAGAAAGCAAAAAGCAGGGTTATCATCTTTCTCATGGTTGGCCAGTACCGTGTGTGTGAGTGTGTGTGAGTGTGTGTGTGTGTGTGTGTGCACCCCTGCCAGGGGACATCAATGCCCCGATGGTTCTGTATGGGTCGTGGGACTGGGGTCCTTGTCTGTGGGAGCAAGCCTTCCCTGGGCAAGGGCACCAGAGTGAAGGGGCAGGCTAGGTCTCTAAGCCGGTGGAGAAAGCTGTGTGACTTGGGACAGCAGGTGAGATCGGGTGAAGGACAGCTGAGAGGGGGAGAGAAGACCTCCTCGGGCCCGGGGCAGGTGTCTGATAGGGGAAGGCATTGGCCCTAAGTTCTGGTCACTCTGGGCTTGCATGCAGTGGAGTTGGGTGCAGGACAGGACCGAAGGCTGAGAGGAAGTGGCCATCGTAGGATGCATAACCTCCCTCCTGTGCCTCACACGGTCCCTGAGAAGAGCCTGTGGCATCCTGGGGTCCAAAACACCAGCTCCTGTCCCTACCTTCATCCACGGGTCATGCAGACGATGCACGCGAGAGAATCTGAAGCCTTCAGGGAAAAACACCCGTGGGGCCGGGATGTCTCTGCAAAGACCCGCCGCCCTGCCCTCTGTTGGACTCTCGCGCTGGGTTCATCACGTCGTGTTCTTGCGCTTGCAGGTTGCTCCTCTCCACGGTGTGTCCCTCCCAGACAGGCAGGACATCAGAGGCAGGCTGGCCACCACAGGAGTTTACTAACGTTCCTGAGAGTTCCTAGCAGAGTGAAAATACAGTTCATAGGGCACTGTTGTGGCCACGCCGAGACTCCCAGGTGTGGATCACACAGTGCGCACTCGTAAAAGATCGAGGGATCCGAGGTGATGTGCACACGGTGTCTGGGATCCCCCGGAACAGGGCATTGGCCTTGTCTCCCCGGCTCCCGGGCCCCTCTCTCCAGTGTGAGGGTGTAGAAGGGACGGAGCTTTGGTGCCATCTCTGTGCACGGACCCCAGGCCGGACTTTCTGGCCGGGGACCCTGCCGTGCTGTCTGGGAGGGGGCTCCCAGAGCGTCCTTTCCACAAAGAACCCGGATCCCAGTCTTGTCAAGCTTCCATCTGAAACACCCCTGTTGAAATCAGATTTCTGCTTCCCGAGCCGTCCCAGGCGGTAGAACCCATGTGTGGTACGTGTTCGCCGTCCATCGAAACCTTATGTGGTGGCTACTGGATCTTACCTTGGGCTGAACCAACACAGGTCACAGTGAGTTTTCCACAATGGCTCCCGACCGGCGGCTCCAGCACTTACTGCTGGGCAACACCGAGCAAGTTACTTAGCATCTCTGTGCCCGATGTCTCCATTATTGAAAGGGAGGCGCTGTTTAGAAGTCCATCTAGCTACTTCAGGCGAGCCCTGACTGTGAGAAGACACAGGGAAAGATGTCCGGATGGTGCCTGGCGCATGGGCAGGTCCCAACCCGTTCCAGCTGCTATCGTTACTGTTAATATTGTGGCCGTTGCCACATGTCCCTGGAGCGTGGTCCCTAGGGACAGAGTCGGGAGGACCTTGGACTAGGTGGACGGAGTTTGCACCATCGCTCTGGCTCCTCAAAGATTCAAGACCCGAGTGTCGGGGGCGTGGGCCAGGGCACGTGTCATTGTCATAGGAGTGTGCAGCCCCCCCTGGAGCGCTGGTGTGAGGCCTCCTGCAGTGCCTGGGCTGCACCATCACGGGCTCCAAGGGAAAACGTCTGGGGAACGAGAACCCTAACGGCCTGTTTGTGGGGTTTGTGTGATGCTTGGAAGAGTGAGGGGCCGCAGGATAATGCTGCATCATGAGTATGTACATCGTTTTAAATGCTTTTCCCATTCTCACGGAATTTATTGGGGTGCGGTATTTTGTAGGTTCAAGACTGAAATGGCAAGGCCAGGGGACCTCATCACGCGGCTTCTTTTACTGCTGGTGCTTCCATCAAGTCCAGTCCTCCCAGGTCAGATGGTGAAGATGTGAATCAGGTAAAGGCATCAAACTGTTGACAGTCGGACTTTGACCAGTCTCACCTCATTTCTTGTGTGGTTTTCCAAGCGCGCTCTGTTGTGTTTATTTTGCCTACCTTTTGCGTTCGTGATTTCTCCAACAAGAGACCGATGTATTACCATTACCTGGACTGAGTTGTGGGGCGTGGGAAACAGTGCAGAGTCCGAGGACAGCGGCCTAGGGAAGAAAGGGTGGGGTGGAGACCCCGGAGGTGCAGGTAGGGGTGGGGCCTGGAGAGAGGAGTGAGGGGGGCACAGGGGAGGGAGAGATGCCGGGTGGGAGCGGAAAGCGGAAGTGAAGGGGCAAGAGAATGGAAGCTCGCAGGTGGGGGCTTGCCCACAGCCTGGCGTTGTTTTCGGTTCTCCCTCCACACACAGAATTTTAGAAGTCAGTGAGCGCTGACAGCGAGGTAAACCTCTTAATGTTAGCCCCTGTGACAGATGAGACAGAGGCGAACAGGTGCAGCATCGTGCCCAAAGTCACCGAGCCAGCAAGGGCAGAGTCGGATTTGTGCTGAGGCCAGACAGGACCCTAAAGAGACATGGCACCTGCCCCTGGACTCTGGAAGGCACCGGGTGCCAGGTGCTTCTGCATCGGCAGCCCGTGAGCCTGAGCAGCAGCACTCGCCGCATGACGTCGGGTGTGGGCGCAGACTGACCGCGATGTCTCCTGAGTGCATGGCGCGCCCTGGGTGACGAGACACAGACCACGTCTCTGGTCCCTAGCAAGCCGTCTGCACCTATTTGCTGCTGTCGATGTCAGCACCAGCACTCTTGTCGTCGTCATCATCGTTACGGAGGGCAGCTTGCGGTTTTAATTAAGCAAACAGCGCAACCGGCAGGAGATTACACAGACATTACACGCCCCTCCCAACCTCACAGTTGTAACAATGCGTAGAAAATGGCCTGGGAGGGAATGACCATGTACTAAGTCGTCGATTCCAAGTGCGAAACTGCAGATAGTTTTCAAACAACATGACTTACTGTTTGGTTTGCTGGGTCATCCTTACTACATAGCCAGAGTTCCTATGACTACTTTTAAAAATGGTTTTTCTGAAGAGTCGTGGTCTTAGGCATCGCGATGCCTGAGGGTGAAACACTGTTTGCGGATGCTCAGCAGGTGGAACACCCGTCGGTGCCCTCAGAGCAGGAGGTGGAGCTGCAGTGCAGTGGAGAAGAGCTGGGGGGAAGCAGACAGGTCCAGGCGGCAGGTACCGAAGTCTGCGGGAGTGGAGACATTGCCCCGGACAGGACGGGCCCAAAGCAACCCGGACTCAACCCCCAGGTCCCTGGTAGAGACAGGACTCTCAGGCGGGGAGTGTGTGCATCGGGGCTTCTCAGACCTGCCCTCTGCTTGGGCTCGCGGGCTGCGTGCGGTGGGGCAGACTGTGGTTCCTGTGAGGCAGCAATGCTGTGAGCTCCACTGAGGGTGAGAGTCGCAGCTTCACCTGCAGCAGTGCTCCTCCTGTGGGTGTTCGGGAGCACGTCCGGAAGCCTGCAGCTTCAGAAGGGAAACAAGCGAGACAGCGCAGTCCTCAGAGCCACCCGCTTCCCCGCCTGGGAAATCCATGCCCAGAGAGCGAGATGCAGGTGCTGTGCTGGTCGGTTGGGAATTAGCAGAGTGGGCCTGGCTGACTCAGAGAAGAACGCTGGAAGTGAACGCCAAGGGGAGAAAACAGGTTTAAGAGGGAATAAACAGCGGGTCCGTTTTCTGGCCTTGCCTTTCTGGGAAGAGGAGAAAGTGGTCCGCCGTGGTGGTGACAGGGCGTCCGGGTCCGAGGTCTGGGAGGGCATCGGCGCACTTCGTGAGGAGCGTCCAGATCTCCGGCCGTCAGTATAGATGGCCCGTAGGCATACCTGGTCTCTGCTACTGGGGCACAGCCCTCCTATGCTCTTAGCCTACAGGGGACAGTGATTATTCCTCTGGAGTGGCCACGGACGGCCCGGGAACCAGATGCTCACGGCTCAGACCCACACTGGTCCCCTCGGGGAATCCCCAGGATAAAGCCGTGCCGGGGACTTCTGTTGTCCGTAGACTGTAATTTAGGGCCAAACACTAGGATTCCCGACGAATCCATCTGGAGTGCCGATCAGAAAGACTGCCAGGAAAGAGAAATCGGGCAACGTGGAGTGAGGGGCGGTTTCACCCACAAGGACCGGGTGGTCGTGTGACTTGAAGAGCATTGCCTACAATAGTTTATTTGCTCAGCTGTGAGCCTGCTCGAAATGCATTTTTCCTTTTTTTTTTTTTGAAGGGGCACTTTTTTACTTTTATTCTTCTAAAATTAAAAAAAAATTTTAAAGATTTTACATATTTATCTTTAGAAGGGAAGGGAAGGGAAGGAGAGAGGGAGAGAAATATCCATGTATGGTTGCCTCTCGTGCGTCCCCTGCTGGGAACTGGCCTGCAACCCAGGCATGTGCCCTGACTGGGAATTGAACCACGATCCTTTCTGGTTCCCAGGCTCGCACTCAATCCACTGAGCTACACCAGGCAGGGCTTATTCTTCTAAATTTTTTATTGTGACTTTTCTATGACCATCTATGCCCCTTGTGGAAAGCGGTCTTGGTCTAAAAAGTGATGGCAGCCCTGCGGCTGGGAGGGGGGAGGGGGGAGGGGGGTGGGAGGAAGACCGGCGCCCTGAGTAGATGAGAGGCACCAGTCAGAAAGTGGGTTTGACCATCGTCGAAGGGACAGAATCTCTCTGGACTAGGGCAGATGTGCTAGACATGGGGAAAAGTGTCAGCATGAGACAGACGTTGGGGAGGCAACATGGACAGGACTCAGCAAGCATTTGGAGTTCAGGCGAAGGAGGGGAAGGTGCACAGGGTCAAGACCGAGTTCCTGAGTTTGGTAATGAGCGCGGCAGTGCCACCCACTAACATGTGGAGTACGGCCGGGGGGGGGGGGCAGGTCTGTGGAGGACTCCAAAGTAGACTTTTCTGCTTACAAACTCGTGGTCAGAATGCAAGACAATAACCAGTGGTGAAGGACTTTCCTTAACAGTAGTTCTTCGCCTTTGAAGAGTCAGAGGTAGGGAGGTAATGTACCTTCAAAGTATACAGTTTGTAGAATGTGACAACGGTATACGATCCTACTAGCCGAGACAATAAAAGTACCGACAGCAGTTTGACACTGCTCCCTTGTGCCATTTCCCATCTGACCCCTGCTTCACTCCCACCCCCAGGCAACCACTGCCCAGGTGTGGGCCTGCGCTGTGCCGGCTGCAGACCGCCCCTGACCCTGACGGGAGCTCCCGTGCCCTGTGGCCTGTGTCCGCCTCCTTTACCTCAGCAAGCTCACGTGCACCCTTGCTGCCACAGGCATCGGCACTTCCTGTCGATGACCGAGCAGTAACCCCTTGTGCGGGTGTCTGCTTCTGTCAGCCGTGTACCGCTTGTTGAATATTTGGCTTGTTTCTAGGTTCGGCTACTCGAGGTAACAGTGCTGTGCACATCTGAGTGCAGGGTTTGTGAGGACATTTCGTTTCCGTTTTCTGTTGCAAGGAATTCTCTAGGACTAGAACTGTCGTGCTGTGGGTTGGATATTAAACCTAAGGGCAAACTCTCGGACATTGCTGGTAGAAGGGTTTTGATCAGATGTAAGTCCCCAGGCGAGGGAAACAAAAGGAAGAAATAAACAAGGGGGACCTCGTCAAACTAGAAAGGTTTTGCGCAGCCAAGGAAATCATCGGCAAAAAGGAAAGACAACCCACAGAATGGCAGGACACATGTGCCGACACATCCGATGAGGGGTTCATATCCAAAATGTATAAAGCGCTTCCAAAAACGCAACACCCGAAAAGCAAACAACCCAGTTAAAAAATGGGCAAAGGACCTGAATAGACACTTCTCCAGACAGGACCTACAGATGCCCGGTAGACCCATGGAAAGATGTGCAGCGTCACTAATCATCAGAGAGATGCAGATAAAAGCACCGTGAGATGCCACCTCACAGCTGTCAGAATGGCCGTGACCAGCAGTAGTGACTCAACAAACAGCAAGCGCTGGGGAAGATGTGGAGAAAGGGGAACCTTTTGCACTGTCGGTGGGAATGCAGACGGGTGCAGCCACCGTGGAAGGCAGTCTAGACATACCTCCAAACATTAAAACTGGGCCCGCCTTTTCACCCAGCAAGCAGTCCCACTTCCGGGAATACATCCAAAGGACCCCAAACCACGAATTCAAAAGAACCTAAGCACCTCTATGATCATTGCAACATTATTTATGTTACATTCGCCGAGACGTGGAAGCAGCCCAAGGGTCCATCAGTAGATGAGTGTCCAAAACAACTATGGGACATTTACACAAAAAGAAGAAAGAAGGAGAACATTTTACCCTTTGCATCAATATGGATGGACCTAGAGAACATGATGCTAAGGGAAATAAGCAAGTCAGGGGGAAGAAAAAGCTCATTTCACTCCTGTGTGGAATCTAATGAACAAACCGAAGTAACAAGCCAAACAGGGACGGACAGACTCACAGATGGAGAGCAGGATGCCAGCGAGTTGGGCGGGAAGGTTAGGGGGCGGAGGGACTGAACCGACAAGAAAAGGACCCGTGGACGCGGACAACAGTCTGGTGATTGCTGGGGGAGGGGGTCTAAGGGGGCTAAACAATCATGGAAAACCATATAATAAAGAGTATTTTTTTAGCCCTGGCTGGTGTAGCTCAGTGGCTTGAGCGAGGGCCTGTGAACTAGAGGATCAAGGTTCGATTCCCAGTCAGGGCACATGCCTGGGTTGCAGGCCAGTTCCCAGCAGGGGACGCATGAGAGGCAACCACACATTGATATTTCTCTCCCTCGCTCCTTCCCTTCCCCTGTGAAGATAAATAAATTTTTAAAGAGTATTTTTTTCAATGCTTGTGTGAGCATACCCACTGCAGCTGCCTGTGGTTGCTGCTTTTATGATCCGTCTCTTCCCCTGCCTTCCCCGGCAATGCGCTTGTGTCTCCTGCACAGGAGACCCAGTTGCACCTTGTTGTTCTTTTTTTTTTTAAATGCAGTCTATCAAAGTCTGCCTTTTGATGCGATTTTGTGATCTATTCACATGTAACATTCTCACTGACAGCGGTGGACTTGTATTTGCCGTCACACTTTTTTTCCGTTTCCTGTCTTTTTGTTCTCTGGTTCCTCCTTTCCCGGTTTCTTTGGCCTTCAGTGGGTGTTTTCTAATGTAGCATCTTAATTCCTTCAATGACCTTCTTCTCACCCTGTGCTGTGGGATACAGTAGTCCCCCTCGCCCATCGGGGGTACACTCCGAGACCTCCAGCGGATGCCTAAAACCGCAGGTGGTACCGAGCCCTGTGTGTACTGTGTTTTTTCTTGTACACGCGTGCGCTTTACAGCTTCTCTTTCCCACGTGTGGACTGGCAGCTTCACTACCCTTGTGCTCTGGGCCACTGATCAGTAAAGGAACGGTTATGGGGACACAGCACTGCACCCCCTCGACCACTGACCTGATGATGAGGGAGACGGTTACTAAGTGGCCAGCCACAGGAAATTCCCCCTTCCACTGCCCAGGAATTCTCATTTCCGTAGTTCACTACAGGCACGGCCAGTGAGGATGACGGTGAGTCTCCAAGGGTGTGTCGGCGTGGTGCAAATGCTTAGGACTGAGTTAACAGTCTGCTTTGTGAAAGGATAGCAGCCGTGAGGAGAAGAGCAGCTCCAGGTGACACGTTGATTGTTCTTGAAATGATGCCGGGCACGACTCTGTAAAAAGGCAGCAGGGCGTTCTCGTGGTTGCCCGTGGCCTGTCACTCTGCATTCCCCGTCACGTGCAGGCACCAGCGGATCTCCTTCCTGACACCCCGAGTGTTTGCCACCAGTCTTTGGAGCTCTTGGGATGTGGCACCCCGTGTAACACGCAGAGCAGTCCTCAGAGGGAAGACGCACTATTGTCCCCGTGTTACAGCCAGGAAACCGAGGGGCAGAAACCAATGTCAGGATGAATAACGCTGGGTTTTCCTTCTTGTTTGATCACCCTTTGTGGCAGTCTGGGTTGTTCTGGCTGCACCTGTCGTCCCTTGCTACCTTGAAGCCAGCTCTTTGAGGCCCTTCCTGGCCCCCTCTGTGTCCAGACCCAGGGGCCGCCTGGCGCCCTGCGCACGGACGAGGCCTTCCTGGCTCCACTGCAGAAGTGCAGCTCAGTGTGGATTTCTGAACCTTCCCCGCTGACCTGTGAAGACACTTCCCAGGAAGTCACAGCGGCCTGTCGTCACCCTTCCTTCTCAGAACTGCTAATGCCAAGCGTCAGTGACCCCAACCCCGGTCCTGGCACCAACTACGCTGTCCCTGTCCCAGAGGGGCTGCTTCAGCAGCGGTGCGCAGATGAGAAAACCCTGCGCCAGGGGCAGCGGGCAAGGCCGGCGTCCCCTCCGAGGAAGAGAACGTTTCTCGGACAAGTTCAGTAGAGACTCCTGGATCAGAATCTTGTCCTCTGGTGAGAGAGATCAGAGTAGGTTTCGGTGCGACTGTCCGCACTGCCCAGACTGTGGGTTGAAGGTGTGTGGCGTTCCTGGGGAGGGGCAGGGGACCCCACGTCCGTCCTCCCGGGAGAGCCTTTAATAGACCTCAGTGGCCCGAGCCTCCGCCCAGGTACCCAGTGGCCTGCTTTTCTGCCCCACGGAGCGTCCCAGCAGCAGCACGCAGAGGAGAAGCTCCAAGTGGGGAGGCGGCAGCCAAGCAAAAGACCGTTTTGGAGGCTCTGAAAACAGTGGTCCCGAGAAAACGGTCTTACCTCACGTGATGGAGATCTGGACAGATTCAACACGGTGTTGCCGGATCCTGGGCGTGCATTCCTTCTGGGGACCAAACAGTGAGCCGTAGTCTGAGGAGTGACTCAACTAGTCCATGACTGAAAACCCCATCGGTGTTGATCCCGTCCCGGGAAGGCCCTGACCTTTCCTGCCCAGAGTTGGACCACTCGGGGGCATTCTGAGGCCAGGGACATTCTGCGTGCCCCCTGGTCCCCAGCTCCTGTATTCTGGCTCCCGTGATGCATCTTGTCACCTTCACAGCCCGGATCTCCGTCTTCCCTCGCTCCGCTGTTCTCACGGAGATGGACCGAGTGCCTGCGGTGTGAGAGCCTCGCTGACGCCCGCGAGCTCTTGTGCCGCTTTGTTCACTGCCCCCGTGAAGGAGGCCTGTGCATGCTGAAGCGCTCGCATGAAGTGGTAGTCACATGAAGTCAGCTTCAACAAGCTAAGGCTACAGAAGTGTGGCAAGGGGACGTGGAATTGGGAGGTGGTGATTCACCCTTGTGTTCTGTGGGTAAGCCGTTGTGAATATGAGGTAAATGCAGGTGAGCGTTTCCCCTGCTCCTTAGCACAGGGAGCACTGCCCCTTGAAGGAGTTTCCGATGGAGCACCTCACCTCGGTTCCAAACACAGAGACGTGTTAAAGGCAAGTGACCTCAGAATTCAGGTTCCTTCATCCACATGGGCGTGTTCTTTGTCAGATCTCAGATCTCAGATGCCTACATTGAAATCCCAGAGCCTCAGATCCGAGGGATCAAGAAGAGGAGATTTACGATGGGGGGGAGGCAGGGGGAGGGCTCCAGAGGGCATGGTCACGTCACTGTTGGCGGCCCTGCCACAAGGACAGCGCTCAGATGATCCTCGCGGAGGAGGTCATGGCAGAGCGTCCCGCTGTGCAGGGAGACCTGGGAGCAGAGTCCGTGCCTGCAGTAGGGGGTCGCACAGGACGGTGCTGCTGCCCCTGTCGCTCCAGGGACCATTCCTCGCTGCCTGGCGTCCCCGGGGTGGGGAACGTGAACAGCAGTTGCATGCTGCCCCATGAGAACCAGATGGTCACTCAGTTACTAACGGTTGGGATTTGGACCTAATGCCTGTTCCCTTGAAGAGGGATGGATGATGACATCTACCCCCCCCATACCCCCCAGAATCCCCTGATGGGTACCCAGGAGCAGACTGTGCAGTTCGCCTGGAGTGACAATAAATTCTGCATTCTAGCCGTGTGTTTCTCGGTGGTCCCCAGAGCTGTATTGCTGCAAAAATGTCTGTGGTCTGCACACACAAGTGGCTTGAGATTCTGAACTGGTGGTGGTCTCATCAGAGAGCCTGGGAGCTCCCCGGACCCTGCCAGGTCTGGCGCGCAGCCCTAGGGGGAGAAGGTCAGTAGAGCAGGGCTTGTCGTCCTTGAAACACAAAGGCCGAACTGCAGCCCGGTCTTTTGGGCTGTGTGGTGAGCAGGCCTAACGTGGCACCTCGCTTTCATTGATCGTTTACTAGATGTCAGAGAACATACTGCAGACAGACATGGGGATGTCAGCTGCTTTCATCCTTTCCCACAGACCCCTCGTGGAGCAAGACTTGCATCCCGGTTCGTGAGGTGGGACAGCAGAGTGCAGAGTAGGCGGGGACCAGGCCGGCACGGGTCCGGAAGCCATGGCCTCACGGCAGCAGCCACCCCAGGTGAGTCCCGCCAGCCAGCATCCCTGTGTACCACTCCTGAAGGTTTCCATGGGCTGCCCTCGCCCGCCCCCTGCAGGCCGGCCTGGCTGTTGGAGGGGTGGAAGAGGAGCAATTTGCAGAGCCGCCCCTGCCCTGGACAATTGAGCCTTTGATCAAGGAGACAGATCTGACGCACCTGGATGTGGCAGAGAGGACGTCATGGGGACCCCTGTGCGGAACGGTGGCCAGGAGAGAGGACTGAGAAGGATGGGCAGGGTGAGGGGTGATGTGGCAGGCTGGGGACAGGCTGGGGACAGGCTGGGGGCAGTGCTGATTGCTGACCTTGCTGCCTGAGGGAGCGTGGGGGAACGGGTGGGTGGGAGTGACCGAGGGAGTCAGAGCCCACCCCTCTCCCCACTGAGGGCTTTGTCCCCATACCCAGTGTGGGGTGTACAGGACATGTGGGGTCACATCACAGAGTGCGTGCGGCCCCGAGTTGCAGGCAAGGAGCTGGAATCCATTGATGTCCAGGCACGTGCAGCATGTCAAGTTCTAGACCAGAGACTGAGCCAGAGGCGCCATGAGCCGAGACACAAGGGGAGAGAGTGGGGTGAGACGTAACATAACACCGAACTCAGTTTATATGGAAGGCCCCGTGAAGGTCAGTCTGAGCTCTGTGGACGAGATGAGCCCCAACCTCTCATGCCTGGTAGTGACGAGCCTGTGGTTCCCGGCCTCTGCACAGGTGGGATATCCATCCAGTCCCAGATCCCCACAAAGGGCACGCAGGTCTAGGGGTGCAGGCGGGTGGATGCAAGTGCATGAGACTCCCAGACCTCAGACCACCCAGAAATAACTGAAGCGTATGCTCTCCGTTACTGAAAGAGCAGGTCCAAGCCACAGAGATATCTGCCATGGCTACCTGGCCACAGCCAGGCTCTGTAGGGACTCAGGGTCTTTGGGGGGGAATCTCCCGTCTTCCCAAAGCTCCTCAACCCAGCTCGAGGGGCAGGGGTCAGAGAGGAAAGGACCACATCTGAGACACCAAAAGGTGAGCAAAGGGAGTCAGGTGGAGCATGACTGTGTGAACAGAGGGCCCAGCCCTTCCTACAGACGGACCCCGGGTTGAGACACAGGAGCCCGGGACCTGCTTTGGAACTAGTCCCTGGGTTCCAGGTGAGAGGCGAGGACCTCAGAACTTCTGTCTGCTAAAGATGCTGGGGGTGCAGGGGACGGTCCTCTGAGCTGCAAGAACCAAAGGAGGCCATGGGGAGGTAACTGCTGTCTCGGTCCCATAGCTCTGTGCACAGTAAGACTGTCATGACAGGTACCGCTGCTGGCCTTTCACTGGTGACTTTCTGCTGTTCAGTGGTCTCTCCTCCGTGGGAAGCACACTCCCCTGGCCGGGGGCACCCCAGCTGCCCAGAGGTGGAGGCCTGAGACCGCCGCTCTCTCTCTCTCTCTCTCTCTCTCTCTCTCTCTCTGGACAAAAGGCACTGCCTGTGCCCTGGGCTGGGGTGTGCCTTGGACAAGGGCAGGGCGCCCCCTGAAGAATGGATGCTCTGAGGACACGCTGGCTGGGCAGGAGATATAGACTGAGAGTCTGGGTGTGGTGGCACCTACTGCACCTCCTACCCAGGGCTCAACTCTAGGGGGGACACGGGTAGGGCTTCCGTCCAAAAGACATAAGAAGGGGCACCCTGACTACTCCGGCTGATAATGTTGGCTTTCTGCTTGTTCCCCAGGGAAGAGCAGGCCTGTGTTGACAAAGGACAAGGGGGCTGGCACCGCCTGGGGAGGCGAGGACACCTTTGAGGACGCCTTTGAGGACGCGTGGAAGGGACCCTGCTGCCCGGAGTGACAACCCACAGGAGCCCCTCCCTCTGTGAGTCTGCCTGCGCTTCTCCGTCCCTGTGATTTGTCTGGGGAGTCCGGTTCGTAGTCCTGGGTTGAAAGAGGTGAGGAGGCAAGGACCCCAAGGTCTCTGAGGACCTGTGTGGCAGGGACAACAGATTGGAAGGTGGGCACAGGAGGCGCCGGTGGGGGGTGGGCACTGCCCTCCCAGGTTCACGGGTGCCCCTCAGGCTGCAGCTGCACCAGGGCTCACTTCTTCTGCCTGGAGGAACTGCAGCTCATCAGAAGGGCCCGCCCCCTGCACTGGCACGTGAGGGGTGGGGGTAAAGGAACGCTGAGCCTGCTCCTCCTCAGCTCGGTACAGAGACGTGTGAACTCGTCCGTGGTCCCTGTGTCCAGATGCTTGGTGAGTTTCCTGAAAGTGCTCACACCCAGATTTCTCCCCCACTTCCTCACTTCCTTCCACACTGGGGAAGGGGTCTCTGTGGCTTGTGAGTGTGTGATGATACAGGAAGGGGACCTCTGACAGACCCTGTGGCTCACAGTGCCCCACGTGGTGTCTGTGGACACCGTGACCCTTGGCTCCCAGATCTAACTGGTGAAGCTCACCCAGGGGGTGTGCGGGTGAAACTTGCATTTCTTTTTTTTGTTTGTTTGTTTTTAGTTATTTTTCAAGTACAGTTTTTTGTCTATTTCTCCCATCCCAGCCCCCCTCCGCCCCCGTGCTCCCCACTACCCTCCCATTTCCACCCCCCTTAGTTCTCGTCCCTATGTCCTTCCCATTTGTTCCTCCAAATCCCTCCCCTTTTCCCCCTTAAATTCCCTTCCCTCTCCCCTCTGGTCCCTGTCCCCTTGTTCTCTATTTCAGTGTCTTTGTTTTTATTCTGCTTGCTTGTTTGTTTTGTTGTTTAGCTTCCTGTTAAAGGTGAGATCATACGGTATTTGTCTTTCAACACCTGGGCTATTTCACTCAGCATAATGCTTTCCAGTGCCATCCATGTTGTTGCAAAGGGTAGTAGCTCCTTCTTTCTCTCTGCTGCATAGAATTCCATTGTGTATAGGTACCACACTTTTTTGATCCATTCATTTACTGTCCAGCACCTAGGTTGCTTCCAACTCTTGGCTATTGTCAATTGTGCTGCTATGAACATTGTGGTGCATAGGTTCTTTGAAATGGATGTTTTAGGATTCTTAGGATATAATCCCAGCAGTGGAATTGCTGAGTCAAAAGGCAGGTCGATTTTTATTTTTCTGAGAAAATTCCATACTGTTTTCCATAATGGTTGTACCAGTCTGCAATCCCACCAACAGTGAACTAAGGAACCCTTTTCTCCACAACCTCTCCAACATTTGTTGTTTGTTGCTTTGTTTATGATATCTCATTGTGGTTTTAATTTGCATCTCTCTGATAGCTAACGATATTGAGCATCTCTTCATGTGTCTCTGGATCTTCTGTATGTCCTCCTTGGACAAGTGTCTGTTCAAGTCCTTTTCCCATTTCTTAATTGGGTTAGATGTCTTCCTAGAGTGGAGTCGTGTAAGTTCTTTGTATATTTTGGAGATTAAACCTTTGTCTTAGATATCATTGGCAAATATGTTTTCCCATACAGTTGGTTGTCTTTTTAATTTAATACCGTTTTCTTTAGCCATGCAGAAGCTTTTTATTTTGATGAGATCCCATTTGTTTATTCTTCCCTTGATATTCCTTGCTCTAGGGGACATATCGGTAAAAATGTTGCTGCGTGAAATATCTGAGATTTTCTTGCCGATGTTTTCCTCTAGAACTTTAATGGTGTCACGGGTTATATTTAAGTCTTTTATCCACCTTGAATTTATTTTGGTGTATGGTATAAGTTGGTGGTCAAGTTTCATTTTTTTGCACGTAGCTGTCCAGTTCTCCCAACACCATTTGTTGAAGAGGCTATCTTTACTCCATTTTATGTTACTGCCCCCCTTTGTCAAATATTAATTGACTGGAGAGAGTTGGGTTGATTTCTGGGCTCTCCGTTCTAATCCATTGGTCTATGTGCCTGTTTTTATGCCAGTACCAGGCTATTTTCAATACAGTGGCCTTGTAATACAGTTTGATATCAGGTATTGTGATCCCTCCTACTTTGTTCATCTTTCTCAAAAGTTTAGCTGCTATTCAGGGTCATTTATGGTTCCATATAAATTTTTGTAGTGTTTGTTCTATGTCTGTGAAATATGCCATTGGTACTTTAATAGGTATTGCATGGAATCTATATATTGCTGTGGGTAGTATGGACATTTTGATGATGTTAATTCTTCCAATCCATGAACAAGGTATATGTTTCCATTTGTTTGCGTCTTCCCTGATTTCTTTCTTCAGTGCTGTGTAGTTTTCTACATTTCTGACACTCACCTCTTGGTCGGGGAACGGGTGATCCCTGGCTGACCTGGGCTCAGGTACCTGCGCTGACCCCTGTGAACCTGGCCGTCACGCTGCCTTCCACACCTGGGCAGGGCTGCCCCCTGCACAGCCTGGGCTGCAGGGTCATGGGCCCTTGCCTGCTCAGTCCCCCCTCAGGAGCCCCCACCTCTGGCCAGTGACTGTCTACATCCCCCCTTGGAGGAGTGGTCCCCTGGGGGGTCTCACCTGCACCAGGGCAGGAACAGGGGCCAGCTCCACAAGGCCGTATTCCTAAACTCCACCATCCCTCCGCCCAGAGACTCTGCTGGCTCCTTGAGCAGACTGCCCTCCTCAGTGTCCCGCGTGGGGATGGGTCGGACCCTCCTTCACGTGGAGCTGCTCCTCACGTCTGCACTCACCTCCCTTCCCGGAGGTGTCTGACCTCTGCCAGCCTCTGCTTCCGAAGGTCCCTCCCCCCTGGGACTGGGACAGACGCGCGTTTCTGTGCTGTGTCTTGCATGTGCACTCCAGGTGTCCCACAGTCTGTCCAGGTCCATGGGACCTAGTGCGGCATGTTATGGGCCGAAAGGAGTGACAATATGTTGTCACAAGGCCCTTCCTGCTTTCCAGAAGGGGAGGAAGAAGTGGAGGGCTAGACGAAGGAGTGGGAAACAGAGCTGCCATGGCCCTTGCCCATATGAGCCTAGGAAAGGGAGGGTGCCATCCGGTGATAGGGGTTGAACGTTGGTGGCCTGCAGTGGGCCAGTGCGCAGTTGTGCTGGGCACAAAGCCCTGCTCCAGGGGACTGAGGAGCAAATGCCTTGCGGAGAGGTTGAAGCAATTTTGCTTTGACACCCATCCATGCATGTGCCAGTAGCTGCGGACTCCCATGTGGGAAGGGGCTGTAATCCACAGACACATCTGCCAATGCTACCGAGATAGCAAGGAGGCAAGGTACCCAGTTTTCGGAAGGGACCCCAATGAATAGAGCAGTTCAACCACACTTAGGCACAGGTCGGCCAGCTCCTGTGCCCACGCCAAGGACCCAGTACCAGAAGAGGCTGCAAACCTTTTTTTGCAGCACAAAGGGCGGGGGGAGACAAAGCGGTCCTGGCTCCACATTGCCATCTGCCGACCAGGGAAACTCGGCGCCGTCATTCTTGGCTGTTCATACCCGTCCTTCCCACCACCCCCCCAAACTTCAAAAGTAAAACCAACACAAAAACACGAGAGATGAATTCCCCACACACCACAGCCAACGATAGCTGTGCTCAGAAGGTGCAGGCAAGGGCCAGGAACCGCTCCCCCCAAGGCCAGCTCCACCTCTCCCCTAGTCCCGCCCTCAGAACCCTGGCAACCTTAGCGGAAGTCCCAGACCCCAGACCCCGCCCCACAGAACTGAGGCTGCCTTGCTAGTGGTTTGCTCTAGACGCTGGGGTGCATGAAAAGTGAGAGGCCCGCCATCATCCCAGGGCACCTCACTTACCCACCAGTCTCCTGGGGGACCCTGTTCCAGACTGTGCGCTGCTGGGCCGGGCCTGTGCTGTCCAGGTCCTTTTGACCAATTGCCCCATACAGCCCGCGTGTGCGGCCTGTTCCAGCTCCCCTGGTCACCCTGTGCCTGCCCTAGCCTCTGAACACCTGGGGCCAATGGCTGAACCCCTGGGCCATTGGCACAACCACGTATCTGCTGTCAGCCTCCATCCTGGAGAAACCTCCTGGTGACATCAGGGCGCACAAGCCTGCCCGGGCCCTCAAGGAGCCTCTCCAGGCTCACATTCTTTCTCCTCCGGATCACCTGACGACAGTCACCCTGCCTGACCTTATGCCTTCAATGTCGGGACACCACCTGCGGCCCTTGATGTCCTTTCCAGCACTCCTCTCTGCCAGCACCTCAGCACTGTCCCCTGGAGACCAACCCCTCTTTCCAGTCCCTCAGCTTAAACACCCTTCAACCTCTTGGGGGCCCCCACCCCGATGGACCCCCTAGCCTTACCATCCACCAGGCCTGTCCATACATAGCCTACCCACGTCTATCATTACAGCCCCCACCCTATTCCCCACACACCTCTCTTCTTCCTTCCTCTCCTCTGCTCCATGCAGTCCTGCTGTGCTCCACTAAGGGACTCGGCCCTTGCCTGTGTGTGAGGACCTGAGCCTTGACAACAGAAACATTGAACTGTATTGAGTTATTTCTCTTAAATCCATGACCACAGGAACATCACCTCTCACCTTCCCGCTCATCCTACTTACACCACTAACTTCCTCCCTAGCGGCCCCCGTCCACTGCACTGGAGAAGATAGGCCCTATGAGGTGTGTGACTCCTTGGAGTCACATATCCAGTCTACCTGGTTTTGCCCTGGCACCTCTACCGGCCCTGGGAATGCCTGCTCCTCACTGCCCTCACCTGTGCTGGGAACAAAGGCCTACTCGAGTGGACTGAGGAGCAAAGGGTCTGTGGACAAGTTGAAGCAATGTCGCTTTGCAAACCATCCACTCACGTGCCAGTAGCTGCAGATGCCCCCGTGGCAAGGGGGGTTGCGGTTTCCCTATTTGGTGTGGGGTGGTCCCCTGTGCAAAGAGCAGGCGATATTTCAGGAGACTACTGCTAAGTGCAGGAGCACAGTCCCTGAGCAGGTGGAAGGCCAGGGATGCTGAG